ACTTTCATCAGCTTTGTTCCTCTCAACGTATTCACGGGATTGAATATGATACTGCCCCGAATCAGACGCAACAAAACCGTAATAATATCCAGTTATATATTTGCTTCCATTAGTCGAATGTCATCAAATTGTACGATTACTGGACTTAGACGATGGTTGTTGGTGCATCAGCCGTAAAATAAAACCTCGGTAAAAAATAGCACTAGAATTNATGGATAAAAGCGACTCATAGGCATGTAATTTACTCTCATTCTGTCCATATTCTATTTACTCTTCATTATTTTTGAGCAATGGAGACGGTCGTTTTTCCATGGAATTCATCTAGTTGACTGTCAAACAGAATTTGCAGTTTCCTCTAATACATACTGCACCCTAGCCTCTAATGACCGCTGTCGAAGTGGCTGACCTCTCCCTATTCTCAACTCCGGGAAAGGCTTTTGAGCACATTCAAATCCCAACTGCTGGGTGGTAGTTGAAAGCATTCGATACTGGAATTGACCCATCCAAAAACTACATAAATGTAAAAAGCAACATGTAATGAGGTCCAAACATTTTCTACCATCAACCTTTACTGAGACGCGACATTCAGCTCTGCCTGGAAAAAGTAAGACTTGCGAATGCATTTATAGTGGCAGTTATCAAAAACCTGCCTCATCAGTGCGACCGATTTCGCGTTATCTAAAATGGCACCTACAGGAGACCAACAACAAGGCGCTCAGTGTTTGCTTCCCATCCAACTCGTTGAGCGGGATGAATATTCACTTATTTTTTTTACACATGAAACGAAATCCATTGGAAAACCAGGTAAACAGATCATCTTCCTTCATCTGTTGTATTGTTCATCAACCATCTTCCAGCTGCTNGTCAGACTTTCGAGTCAAAGGCCCCGGTTAGAGTTCCCAAAGAAAAACCCCTTCATCAGGTGTGGGCTGTCGCAAAACATGCCGTGCCCTAAAGTCTTAGGTACTCATTTGGAAAACCATCTTTCCCATCTGTCTAATTCTTCTTCTCAATCCCGAATATTCCCAGGTGCCTCCTGTTTACGATACCCATTGCATTTCACTCAGCGTTCAACTAATAAGGTCAATCACTCATAGCTATTCCTTCGGATACGACAAAACGCGCAAATCCCTTAAACGCCAGCTCATCAAGAGCCTGAGGAATGACCGCGAGAAGTGGTAGGTAGGGAAGTGCAGAGAGATGGAGAAGGCTGCGGCTATCGGTAACAGTCGCAATCTTTTTCGTTTAATTAGGAGTACATGACCAAGGAGAGCAGGTGTAAGTGAAGTAATTAAGGAGTCTGACGGCACACTGATTCAAACTCAGGAATGACGTCTTGAACGTTGGGCAGAACATTTTAACGCACAGTTCAGCTGGTCCCCTTCGACACAAGACTTCCCTCACTCGGTCCAACTGTGCAAATACTGCAATTTGACATCAGACCTCCATCTGAAATGGAGTTTCCCCGGAAATATATCACCTCAAACGGCATAAGGTTTCCGGCCCCGACGGGCTGTCCCCATTCGTTTTCAAGGATGGAGGTCCAGCCGTGGTTTTAGAGTTAACAAAACTCCTCGGTTCGATGTGGGAGAGGGAAGAGGTTCCAGCTGGATGGTGTCAGTCGGTGATCATACCGATTTACAAGAAAGATGACAGATCCTCCTTTGAAAACCACAGGGGAATTCGTTTAATCAATATTGCCTCTAAACTTCTCGCTGGTATCATACTCCGTCGATTGTCTGCCGCACGTGAACGGTGAACGCGTGAGAATCAGGCTGGTTTCAGACCTGATCGAGGCTGTATTGACCACATCTCACACTTCGTCAAATTCTAGAACATAGACACTTTTCATAGACCCACCATTTCTATCTTCCTCAATCTAAAGCGGCTTACGACTCAGTCGACCACTCCAAACTCTGGCGCTGCCTTTCCTTGAAGGGAGTGCTCGATAATTTAATTTCACTATTACGATCGCTTTATACTCATAGCCGAAGCCGAGTCCGAGCTTACGGCACTTTTTCACCCAAGTTCACCACGGAAAGTGGTGTTTGACAGGGTTGCCCTCTCTCTCCGTTTCTATTTAACTTCGTGATCGATTCGATTCTTAAAACAGCCCCATTCTCGTGCTAGGATAGCGGTATCGATTTACTCCCAGGTGGCAGACTGTCTGATCTAGAATATGAAGACGATATTGCGCTGCCAAGTGAAGATACAGGTAAGTTGCAAGCTTTCCTGGACAGTTTGAGTGCTAGTGTGTCCATGTTCGGTATGCGTTTTGTACCTTCAAAGTGTAAAATCCTACTACAAGATTGGGTTGGTTTAGCACCCAGTCTCACCCTAACTGGGGAAGTAGACAAATTTTGCTATCTGGGCAGCTATATTTCACCTGGCGGACGCATCACAGATGAAGTGTCGACGGGCATACAAAAGGCTCGGTTGACATTTGCTAATTTTAGACATTTGTGGTGCCGTCGCGACATCCGGTTGTCAGTGAAGGGTCGAGTATATGCTGCAGCAGTTCGGCCAGTTCTGCTTTACGGCGCAGAAACTTGGCCAGTGCGGGAACAGGATAAAAACAGATTATCGGTGTTCGAACACCGCTGTCTACGTCGCATTGCACGAGTCTGGTGGGTAACCAGATGAGCAATGCTGAGGTTAGGTGTAGAGGTTTGGGCATTCGCGGCCGTCCACTGGAGCAAGTGATCTACGTGCATAGTTTACGTCGGTGGGGGCATGCGTTACGCATGTCACCAGATAGGTTGTCGCGGCGAGCGATGTTTTCCAAGGCAGGTAACGGTTGGAAAAGATCAAGGGTGGTCAAACTAAGACCTGGCATGGGGATATGAAAGCCTTACCAGGAGACTACGTCACATAGGCTCCCTGACTGAGGACCTCTGGATGATGGTCACCGATGGTTAGAGACACTGAGTGATATGGTTGGGTGACGCAAACAGTAGCGCTCGTACATCCACTCATTATCTCCCAATCACTATTCTATATGAACTCTCCATTTTCCGCTTAAATTTGCTTTCAACATTCCAATCTTAATTACGCTCTTTTATCCAAATGGGGCACCAAGAGACGGAACCAAAACCTGCACACGAAAGTGCATGATTAATGGATGTAAAAACCAAAAGTCATTAACCATCAGTGAGATAAACCCAACACCAAATGGACGGGCGACGCGATTTGAATGTGCTGGTAAAATCAGGAATAATCTCTCCTTTGTTGGGCGCTCAATAACGGTTTCATATTTGGTGACCTCAGCTCCAGTCCGAAATGAGCCATCATTCTTCGAACAGTGGCATGAGGAATCTGCGGCGAATCCGCCCGGACTATCCTCCATATTAGTTTAAATCTTTCCCAGTTGCGATCGAATTCAACCATCAACTTGTTTCGATGTGATCGGTTTCTTTTCACTTGATTCATGTCTTGATGGAGAAATTCCGTTGATCTTGCAATAAGTTATGTTCACATCAAAGCACTTGCACAACTCAGGAACTGAGTCATCGGACTTATGAGCCTCTCGAATAAGTCGCCTCTGGGTTTCAACTGTACGCCAAAAACTCTTGGATGTTTTATCCTGTTTGGGTAAGGTGACATTACACATCGCCCATTCGACGAGCCGGAAATTAGTTAAAGAAAACGATTTACCACCTTCATTGCAGCTGGTGGCGGTGTTGGGGAGGAGATCACTGCGAAAGCTAGAGCAGCTTGCGACACATGTGGCGTCGTCATGACATACGACTGTTCCTCAAGGGAACGATGTACATCGCCGCGGTTCCTATAGTTCTACTTCACAACTGCGAGACCTGGCCTCTTCGAGCGGAAGATGCTAATCGACGTGTTTTATTCGACTGCCGATGTCTCCGAAGCATTGCTTGTGTCTGGTGGGAACATCGGGTGAGCGATGACGAGGTTCGACGTCGTGTGCTGGGTGTGGATAGCTATTCTCTAACAGAAGTAATCGCTCTACACCGCTACCGATGGCTTGGCCACGTTTTGCATATCCCTGTCCATCGTCTACCTTCCCGTGCTCTCGAGGTTAACTTTTGGAGGTAATTGGACTACATTTTGGGTTCTTTTAGGATGAGGGATTCTTGGTGAGTGGTTTTAGCCATATGCTTTATCAATTTAGTTCACCTGGGAAATTCTCATTAAACGGATTATTTACTTTGCATAGAATTAAAAAGGTAATTTATAATACATGTACTGACCTGAATAAAAACCCTCATGAAACAGAAATCATTTGGTAGAAAGAATGAACTCTCAGGCGTGCGCAGAAACATTAAGCAGATTAAATTATTCAAAAAATCACTTGCTTGGACGGAGTTTACATTAAACTTTAATCAGGAAATCGATCAGAAAAACTGTAATAATTCACACAGTTTTAAGCAGTCTGGCCCTGGATGATAGATTTCTTTGTATTGTATTTGTAACTTGTGTAAACATATATGCTTACATTTCAGTTAAAAATGTGCACTGTTCGTCAAGCAGAATGATATAAAAATAAAAAGGTAAAGAATGTCGGTGATGTACGTTTCATGTACAAGGCATTTGACGTAGTTCATTAGATACCTTACCAACTTTTCTAAATCAAAACACTACNTTGATTCAGTGATCGTCAGTCGGCTACCGGGTCTTAATCCATTCTCAAGTTATTGATGCATAACTCAATTTATGTGAAAAACCCTTGTGAACTTTAGTTTCAATGAATAAAACTTATTTTTTGACAATGTTCGAGGACAAACCTGCAGATTGTAGTAGTTCGGATTCTGTGTCATACGTTGATACAAGAACGTCCAGGTCAAATAATCCACCGCATCTTGTTTGTTCTCAATTGTTTTTGTGACCACCTCCGCATTGAAATGATCATGCAACGCGTGGTCCAGATGCGACTCGACAGGAAGCGGATCATGCAGGAACTTTTTCAAAAAGTCTCGCTTTCCGGACTGACAGAGTACGACAGCCTTCGCTTCGGCATCTACATTCGGCCGATTCGCATGGCCCAACATTTCGAGTAAGTCAACTACAGGATAGTCCTCGTATGCATGTATTTTCCCATTATAGTCCTGAGTGTCCATCACAATCACCAGATATGCTGAGATGGGTTGAACGGAAGCAGCGCACCAAGTGAGGGCACGAGATACGAGCAGGGTGTGCAGCGCACCGGCAGAGAAGAGAACCTCGACAAGGCGACGATCTGCCTTGGAGATTGCTTCATGCAAGTAGGCTATTCCACCGCCGTGGCGTACTACTTCAGCCAGAGCATGATCCGCAAGCTGATCCGCCGCCCGCGACAAAGCTTCCTCCAGGTGCCCAGAGATTGGTATGAACTTTGACTGGGTTGAAGGGTTGGCTGCAGCCGCAGCAAACATGGTGATCAGATCGAGTGCTGTACGCTGAGCTTGACGACGTGTAGGCACATAGATCAGAGTGGGTTTCCGCTGGGATGACTGTACACTACCAGTAGATGTTGCACCAGATGGATTACTCAGAGCAAGTCGAGTGATCAACTGGAAGACCGGTTTGGTCATGGCCAACAGACGAGAAGCCTGATGAGCAATATTAAAAGGGATGATGGTCAAATCCAGCGGAACGGGACGTGTGGCGAATGGGAAATTATATGTTGCTCCGGATGCACAGCCTAGCCAGCTGGCTATATCTCGACCATTGGTCAAACTGTGTGACAGACCCACAATTCGGATTGGATTGTCCAATTGGCTGCTAATATAACGCATACGAGAACAGACCACCTCAAGAATCGGGCCACCATCAGCGCCAACTAGATGCAGATTATCTGCGATGAACAGATTCACGTTTTGCACATTCTTTCGCTGTTTCCAACGTCGAGACAGCACATCCCAATGTTCGGGAGTGGTGACGATAATCTGAAAGGATAAGCAACGCACAATGAGCCGAGTTAGACAGAACTGGTTTGAACAAATTATTCGGCAGATACGCACAGAAAGTGTTTTTCTACTTGAGATGAGATACTCGCCAGTCAAGCGGCTAAGAGGTTGGTCTATTCATGGTTCACATACTTGGAAGCAAACAGTAATGCATGGATTCGAAGGATATTTCTAACCGGCAAGTTTGAAGCAATAATGTAAATTCTTAACACAAACTCATATCCGTCAAGGTGTATTGCTTTGAGCAACAGAAACAGGGAAAGGGAAAAGGTCAGCCATACTTTGATGATCCGGTTAACTCTCCAGAATCCAAGAAAGAACAATCAACCATCGGGCTTTCAAGCCTGATGTGTGTATGACTTTGTTTGCACGGGGAGATATTTTGAATCTGCATTTGGTGTGAAGTTGGTGGTTCAACTAGGAATTTACTATCCTCACCCACACAGCTTTTTATGAACCCACAAAAATCGATAAGCTTTTGTTTTTACTCTACACCAATTCACATACATCATAAGAGCAATAGGACGAATCATCTACGTAGGGTGGATTCAAACACTGTAAGTTTAAAAAGCTGAATATTTCACCAACTTATTCAAAGAAACGAATGAAAACTACTTTTAAGGTTTAATCCTCATCAACTTACTAGGTTGGTTAATAGTGTACATTACTTTTATACATATCAGATTAAAAAACCTTCACACTTCATTCACCTGACCACGAGCAAGCAGCTTCAAATCGACTGAAGTTTCCCCGGTCAATCGAACTACACGTTTGCCCAATTTTTCACCGAATCGACTGTTCCAATCTGCGTAGCGTTGCTCAACCTGTTCAGCGTGAGGTACTACATAGACACAGCGGAAATTCCCAGAAGCAGTTGACGCAGTTGCAGTCGCCGAGTTGGATCCACCTGCCTGAGTGTCGGTTACACTAGTGGCTTGACTAGTGGTGATTAGGCGGAAAATAGCAAGTTCTGCGCACACCGTTTTCCCGCTTCCCGTTGGTGCAGCGATCAGCACGTTCTCATCGGAATTGTATAATGAATTAAAGACCTGTTGTACACAGGAATAATGATAAGTACATACACATACAGAATGGAGGCTAGAAACAGATCGTGTGGATATCAAAACAACATTTACACCGAGAAATTCTCACAAAGTTGTACGTAAAATTTGACGTGGTGATTTACATTCGAGTCTAAATCGATAAAAGAATGTATTAGTACGGAACGAGTTAGAGCCATTTCTACTGCAACAGACGCAGCACAGTGATGTGCTGTGTAGCTCGACGGCCTTGTCGAGCAGATAATGACCAATGGCCACCTGTTTCAGTGATCATCATTTGTGTTCCAGCTCATCCGTGCTACAGGTCCCAAAAGATCTGCGAACTAGATGGCACGTTAATAAACAGCCTTCACTGACGATTGGGACGCTGGATGGAGCACTTCACATCGCACTTCAACCAACCCTTCCGTGCTGGCTGCTCCAAGCAGCTCTCTTGGAAGTGCACTCTGGCCACTATCCACGGGACCGCCCACAGAAGCGGAGATCCGAAAGGAACTCCACGTCCTGAAACGCCACAAGGCAGCTAATTCAGACGGCCTGCCACCTGCCCTCTTTAAAGATGATGGAGATGCTCTCGTAAGAGAACTTGTGAGACTGTTCTCGAATATCTGAGAAACTGAAAGTGTATCCCACATATGGGGAGAAGCGATTGTCACACACATCTACAAGAAGGGCTGTCACAACGCCTGTTTCAACCACGGGGGCATAAGTCTGATTCCAATAGCGCCGAAGCTGCTAGCGTCCGTTTTATTACGCAGGTTATACCCACTCTGTGAGAAGCAAATCCGTGAGGAGCAGGCCGGGTTTCGTGCACGCCGTGGATGCATAGATCAAACCTTCACCCTCCGTCAGCTACTAGAACACCGCCACACATACAGACGACAAACCATTGTCGTGTTTTTAGACATCAGAGCGGCTTTCGACCTTATCGATCGCAATATGGAACTGTTTGCGGGGATACGGAGTACCCGAGAAGTATGTCTCACTCCTAAAAGCACTCTATCACCAGACCTCGGGGAAGATTAGGGCCTATAATGAACTTTCACCCTCATTCCCTGTCACCAGTGGGGTACGACAGGGTTGCCCTATCTCTCTGTTTCTCTTCGACTTTGCCTACATAACGCGTTACATAACGCAACGAACGCTGGCGTCGAGCTTCTTCCTGGGGGACAGAGTCGTAGACTGAGAGTACGCCGATGATATTGCCTTACTGGGTGACAACGGACCAACGATTCAAGAGTCGTTGAACCGTTTGGCAATTGAGGTTACTCGCTATGGTATGTCATTTGCACCTTCAAAGTGCAAAGTGTTGTTGCAAGATTGGCAGGAACCCATTTCCGCACTTTCATTGGATAACGACATTCTGGAAGTAGTCGAAAGCTTTGTCTACCTTGGGAGTTGCATAACGGTTGGCGGAGGTGTGGGCGAGGAGATCTGTCAACGCGTGATCAAAGCTAGATTAGCGTTTGCTAATCTGCGGTATCTCTGGCGCCGGTGCGATAAATCCCTTTCACTGAAAGGGCGTGTGTATTGCGCAACGATACGCACCGAGTTGCTCCATGGCTGCGAGACCTAGCCTCTCCGAGCAGATTACGTCCAGCAGCTATCAGTCTTCGACAACCGTTGTCTGCGCAACATCACCCGCGTATGATGGGAGCATCGCGTGAATAATGAAGTCAGACGACGGGTGCTAGGACCAGATAGACTTCCTTTGGGCAAAATAATTTAACAGCATCGTCTTAGGTGGCTAGGGCACGTCCTAAGAGCACCGTCTGCTACGCCGTGTACTTCTCGCAGACATTGGTCCAGGCTGGAAGAAACAACGAGGTGAGCAGGCTATGATGTGGCGCAGAGGGGTAAAGAGATCGTGCTCGGATCTGGCTTCCATTGGGGTTTCTCGGTTCCCCGGCTGGGGCCCCAAAGATTCAGATCGCCTTCGGCTGGAGATACTGCGGGATATGACATCGAACTAAAGTCAGTGGCGCGAATGCATCACCTCTTGTCTACAAACCCAAAAATAAACAAAAACGAAAAAAAACTCAAAATGGCGTGCAGTAAACAAACAAAAAATTGCTACTTCTTGAAGTTGACTTCTTTTTTCCTATCTACCTATCTATCTACCTACCTATCTTTTTTCGTTCACCCATGGTTATTTTTGGCGCCGTATCTGTAAAGATTGGTGTTAATATATATATATATATATATATATACTTGTGATATGTTTAATATGTATCATACATATATTTTAAAATATCCTGATAAAGGCAATTGATTCACGCGTATTGCGGCGCAAGAAAGTGCATGGTTGATGGTTGTAAAAACTGAAACTGTCGCGTCTAGTAGCATCTAATCCACGTACATAACACAAAATCATAGCATTTATTCATAAATCAAATTGTTTGGTAGACCCTCAGATGTGATCAAAGAAGAGTAAATCTACAATAAGACCGGGAAAACTTACATAGAAGCAATAAAGTACAATAAAATATATTTACAAGGTCAAATAGTATTTTGCTAATCGACGGCACCCGGGTCACTCTGGTGGAGAAAACAGAAAACTCTCGAGTGAGTAGTGTTTGTCTCGTGATAATGAAACCTGGTCACCCGACCAAATGATAAACTGCCTTCGGACAGTCCGGCGTACACTGCTCAGACCTTGGATCAAGCGACGTACGCTGTACAGACACACCGAAGTAGACGTGACGTTTCACTGAAAGTGAAAGATTGCATATGTGCCACCGTACCAACAGTTCTGCTCCACAGTTGCGAGACCTTGAGTCCGCATACAGAAGATATTCATCGAGGGTTTTACCAAGCAATCTTTGCGTAGTTTGCAACAGGTAAGATGGAGTGAGCGTGTTCGAAACACCCAGGTAAGTCGTCGTATTTTGAGGTATGTTTAGACAAAAAATTCGTTTTCTTGCCGCATTTGGAAATGTAGACTTTACTGGCTAAGACACATATTGGGCATGCGTAATAGTCCTTCACAAAGTCGATAGCAGTTGCCGCTCCAGGTTAGGGAAGATCACCTTTAAGATCAACGGGTGCCGTGGAAACGGAACATGAAATGCACAGCAAAAACAGGTACAGTAGGGATCTGTTAGCTTTCACGTCGAGGTCTAAAAGACCCTGTAACTGGTTCATTGGGTACACGGGAAGGATATGATAGCCTACTGAAACACGGAGTGGTTTTCCTGTCACTTCTTATCGGGCCAGAATGCTTGATGAGGTGTATATTCACAGTTAGACAGTACGCCCAATATGTTGACTCTAGAGATTCACCTTTTCACCTCAAAACAGCTTTATTCTCTACCCACCTGACACAACCGTACGTTCTAGACATTGTGAGTTCGGTAACAAATAGTTAAGTTCGTTTCACTTTATCTCGCTGTACAATGAGGATGGTGCTTTCGAACATTGATTTCGGAAGCACTATTTGGTAGTGAAATTAAATTTGGATTGGGGGATTTGTGGGACAGTCCTTTGAATGAAGTGATCGTAATGCACTGTACCTAAGTGTGAATGTTATAGTGTTATAAACACTATCACATTCACAATAAAACAACACATGGCGCATCGATTTTTCGATACACTCCTAACATCATTTGGTCCCAGTGTACCTAAGCACTGCGCATGTTTTCTAAGTGCATCTGGAGGAGAAAGCGATCGACTTATGTCTTTTCGGAGTTGATAGGTATTCACGAACATTCGCTTTGTGAAACTTGTATGCTCATCGGCGTGATTCATTTGGCTTTGGTGTCAAACGTTCGGTCGGGGAAGCAGATTGTTCTCGGCTGAAGCGTTGTGGAACACGAAAGAGCGACTGCGTTGGCCATATTTTTCTGTCATGCACTGAAAACCAGATCTTATTTCTTATGCATATTTATGGTTAGTGTCAACACAGTTTTACCACTTTTTTAGAAGTAACATGAGTCGGTATACAACAAATAAACGTTAAGGATAAAGTGATATGAATACGGAGACTGAATCGAAACTCACCTGCGTTTGGATTGGATTGAACACACGAACCCGATCGGTATACAGGGCTTCAAACTCTTTGTTACGCAACGCGGTCACTGGAAGTGGTTGCAAGTCTAACAATTCCGTAGGCGGCACTGTCTTCTCCGGTAAAATCAAATGCCGGAATGATACGGGCAGTGTGACCTCACCACCAATCCATCGGTCAGATACAGCCGTAATATAATAGTGTGGAGGTAACGGATCGAAAATCGGCACCACAAAACGCAGTACATGCTCTTCAGTGGCATAGCGCTGTTTCAGCACGAAAAATTCGTGATGTAACACAGTGCTTCCGTCCACGTCTTCAACAAAAATCCAAAAGGCTTGAGCGCTAGTGTGTACTTTCTCGTCCCAAATGAAATCTGGGGTTAGAGTCAGTTCAACACGGAGTGCGGATCGAGTGATGGGTTGTACATGAACACTCATTTCCAATCGCGGTAGATGATGCAAGTACTTATGAAGTGGTTTACCCAGTTTGGGCATTCGAACTAATTCGCCCAGTTCATGATGATTCATGTCATACAGCCGGTCGAATGGGATGGATTTTTTCTCTAGCTTTCTGATCACATCTTCCGGAAGTTTCTTGAACTGACGCAGTGGACACATAGATTCCCACATACGTCGTTCGACCATTTTGGCCAAAGTGAGTGCATTATCGGCCAGCTCAGCCCAACCCCGATGTAGTACGATTTCGAAAATCGCACGGATTAAACGACCAGCAGATTGGGTGATGTAGACCATATCGGAAACCAGAGAGAAACCTTCCAGTTTCAAACCAGAAATGTAGGCTTGAAGTAGACAATTCACTTTGGCCGCAGGTTCCTCCGCGGACTCTTTAATTGGAATTGGGACACGTTCCAAAAGTTTGGCCAGTTCGAATTTTTCTTCCTGTCTAACTGTCATATGTCGGAATTCGGAACTAGCTGCGAATACACGGAACAGTTCGATCTCACCCAGACCAGGACGAAGTAGTTTATTGTACGATAGCACTGTAGTGTGTGTCAAATAGTAGTGTGATGCTATTCGTCCGAGTTCTGTTGACTGGAGGCTGCCCACCCGACGGTCATAACGGATTAACTGACATCGGTCCAGTTCTAATGCCGCCGTGTGAATCAGATCGCGCCTGTACTGTTCTAGCCACGGGTCAGACTTCTCACTACCCTCGGGCACTCCATACAATGCAGGGTTTCGAAGCATACGGATGTATAAGTAGGTGAAACCGAGCCAAGTGACGGCTTCACGTACGGTCGATATAGTGCCAAGTACAATTTCTGCATTCAACATATCCGGCAATCGTGAGACAAGTTGGCTTTCGATCGGTAATTGTTGATTCATCAAACTCAGGTAGTATTGCAACTCAGTGTGGTTAGTGATTAAAATTCCCACACCCTCCGTATCGTACTGAGGTCGACCAGCACGACCAAGCATTTGCATCACATCTAACGCGCTAAGTTCCGTCCAGCGACCTTTCTCCGGACTGTAAATCTGTGAGAAGAAGCAAATGAAAAGTGACCAGAGAAAACGGTGATGGGGCATAGCCTGGTGATTCAAATGAATTTATCCATTTTACACTTCAAGAGTACGAAGAAAACGCCGAGTCTAACAACGCATCCGTTCCTATTCTGCCTACACATTCAATCGCAAAAGGGTTGGAACAGATGAGACTCAAACCAATATAGAAGCGGGAATTTTAAGGTGAACGAGTGTTATTTAATCTGAGAGCGTCAAATAGACCACATTGTTTCCGCTCATTTGTTAGGAGGTTTGTGGTCACACCTCTAACAGATGGTGGGGGGAGGACTGACACTGGATCATGCAAGTATAGGGAGACAGTGACAGAATTATTGTGGTGCAAGGGATTAAGAAAAAGACTAAATTGTGGAGTGAGAAGGCGAAATCGTAGGGGCGGAGAGTTTGACTCCTAACCAGTGTAGGATTAAGATGCAGTCATCTGAACGATGCTCGGTCATACACTAAGCCAGCAGCCATCGATTTGGCACCTAAAGACATCCACAGCTGGTACGTTGATGACAACCTATTTCATTTCGATACCTCTTAACATGTCAGGTGCTGCTGTTCTTGTTTTCAGAAGTTGAAATGCCTGATTTTTGATGTGTGCATTAGCAATCCAATTAACAGATAAGGGCAGGAAATGGGAATGATTTGAAACAGATTGGTATACGAAAACATCTACATACTTGGTGAGTTCTGTGGGCGGAGGAACAAATACAAGTCTTATTTCATTCGCAACTGTTGGATAAAGGAACAAAGTCATTTAAATGCTATTTAAGGTACTTGGGTGTTTTGTCTGAGACCAGTACGATGAAATTTTACTAGTCTGAAATACTCCAATTTTTCTTCGACTCTACCTACTTTCCTGTTTTTCCCCAACTGCTTCATCTAAATGGCTAGCCAAAAGACAGCAAACAAAAGCGCAGAAGAAAGTGCATGGCTAGTGGTTGTGCAAACTGAAACTGAACTGAGTACGATAGACCCGAACTTGGTGAATTGGTGAGGAAGCACACGTATACTCACATGCGCAAACCTGATAAGGCAGCTATTACAAAGAAGAAACCAACTAAAGTTGAACACAAGTTAAATGAATGGAAGTACAACTGCGCGGATACAAGAGCAATAGGAAAAAGGGAGATTAGTGGATAAATGGGCGCGTCAAGAAAGAAACAGATTTGAATGTGACATGACAGGTAAACGCACCTGAGTGCCTTTGATGATAACCGTGTGAGCTGGTAAGTTCACACCCCAGGCTAATGTGGCTGTGGACACAAGCACTTGAATGTGGCGATCAGCAAACAGTTCCTCCACGAGCATGCGATCCACGCGGCTCATCCCGGCATGATGGATGCCAAATCCGTATGGAAGTAGATCTTTCAACTCGAGATTTTTAACCTAAGAAAGTACATGTAAGCAAAAGGGGCGAAGATGACTAGCAACCGTGTTTATATTCGAGGGCAAATGAAAACCTGAGGATATTCTATCTAATCAACCAATAGAAGAATGACCTTGGACAACTTCTGCACCGAGAAAATTCAAATCGTATGATCTAGCTAGGTATGAAAACATTCCATTATACCCTGTTACCTTTGAATCGGTGCTACAGTTTTGTGCTTATTACTATGGGGACAACAAGCTTTGAGGAGAACCCGTACAAGCCGAATGAATTCATACCTTTTACAACATAAATCGGTATCTAGATATTTGAATTGGGTTGGAAGTATGAGAGAAAAACATTGAAATAATTTCAAATGTTTGGCGAAATTTCCAGATGCACATAAATAATGGCACCTGACTCTGGAGTTACTCTTGTTCTACAAACTCGTTGGTGTCGCCAAGAACATGAATAAGAGTTTGATGTTTCCAGGATCCAATTCAAGTCAGTAATACAAAAAGGGCGGTTTCAAGTAAATAACTATGATAATGGGGTTCTTATATCAGATTGACAACTGTGGACTTTCGAATTTGGAATCTGAGGATGTGGTAGGTTTTTACCTGATAAACAACGCCCTTGCAACAATTTCTCCTGGGCAGTAATGTGTGTGCACACTTGAATCCATACTGATCAGAATTTTCCCACTTAAATGTGTTAGAGTAAAAAGTGCATTACTCCGCATCAAAAAAGAAATTCTCTACAAATAAAGTCGGGTCCATTTTCACGAGGCAGATGCATCTCCTCACTGAGGAGAGAGAGCTGCAAAGCTCATTTTTCACAGGGTATCTTATTGTTCTAATGCCGTGAATGGCTTTGGACTTTTAAGTTCTGACGTTATTCGAAGGCTTTAGTAGGGGTGGTTTTAATTTCAAAAAAAGCGATCCCAGTTCTTAAGTCGTGATAACTTCCACACGTTAGTTCTGGTGGCTAAAGGGGCTGTATTGGTCATTCAGCTAAGGTCACCAAAAGTTATTCGATCATGAGTTCGAATCTCGCCATAGCCGCCCTTCAGCCTCATTTATTTCTTGCCCCAGGTAGCCAGGTAGTCAGCGGTCACCTTCCCGGAAATTGTTTGTAAAATTGTATATTTCATAGATCGAAGGAAGTTGTCCCATTCTTGTTATTAATATCGTTTGGCGATCCATTTGGTTGGCCAATGGTTAACTAGAGCATCAAACTGAAAGTCTTAACAGGACGATTTATCACATTTCACCCGTATACTTGATACGTACACTGTTTACAAGTATGAATAAAAACCTGGTTTTATCGCTCTGCTAATATCTGGAGCGTGCACCTGCCAATTGCGGTGGGTAACTGCAGAATTATAACATATTACAGCATACAGTCGTAAATTTCCTCCCGTTCCAAAGGACGATCAAGTGGTGCTTAAGCCACTAATATCGTCGGCCGCAACCAAACGAGTCAGCATGTTGTTTTGTGGCAGGGATAAACTTATGGATGAATCCAACTAAACAGAAAATATGAAACTCACATGTTCCGCCTCCTGACGCAGAACCATGGTGGACGCGTTCTTGTCCTTCATGAACACACCCAGTGTATCCTTTTCTAGACATGCATCCCGTAGGGTGCGTGCAGTTTTCCCTGTTTCTTTACGACTGTGCACGAACACAAGAATCTGGTTCCGGCCTGCGTTCTCCATCACCTTGCTGTACACGATGTCATTCATGGCTTGATATCGTTTAACCGCTTTCTTCTCCGTGATGCCAATGTATTGTTGCTTTAGCGGTACGGGACGATAGCTATTGAAGAGAGGATGAGGGCGGTGACCACGTAATAAAGTGAAACAATCTGAGATAACCGAACGAATCGATACAGCGGGAATATAAGCAAAAGAATAATGGTGCACTGATATAAATTGTGATGATATTTTCTTGATCGCATCGCAACTAAATAAAACCCAGTTTAAGTTAATCTTCGGTAAATACCAATTGAATGGTTAACGAGTGACTGCCCTGTCAAAGTACGTTGGAGGTTCGTCAATCCAAGCCTCAAGATTTGGGGGATAACCCCTACAATCAAAGACCTACTATGAAGGGATGGAAAAAAATGAACATTCACATAAGACCAGTTGATTGAACCAATTTGATGAAATGAAGATTTTACGAAAAGGGAATGTACAGAGGGGTAACTCTCTTGTTTAGCAGATCTTGGGCTCAAATAAATAATCCTAAGACAAAAAATATCAGACTCAGGGACAAGTATATGATTGCGACGAATCCGCGATCGTGTGGGAGTTTGGCGGGTAGACAGAGGAGGGACAGGATCCACAATTCACCCAGGAATGAATGAATGAAGCAGCAGACCGGTGGGCAGTGAGGAAGTCACCGTTAGACGCAGGTGAGACAGATAGCTTTACATGAACACAATTAAAGAGACAAGGAGGAGTACCAGATGGCACTAGTCACGAATNAAAACAATAAGAATGGGAGAGGCATGAAACCCAGGGAATTATCAGTAAATACAGTGAGACTGTAGCGATAAAACACGTACAGGTGATTACTCATGACTGTGTGGCGTATAAAGTGCAATAGAGCTCATTGTGCAATAATGACTTCAGTGACTTCAAAA